ATTATCAGACAGTTGTAAGAGGTTCATGCATTCATCTTTATTACCTTCACTGTTCACTCATTGTTCACTCCTTTTTCAATGATGGAAAACTAACAAAGAATGAAAGAATTCAGAAGCTGGGGACATTAAATCTCTACTGATGCATATCTGTAACCCCATTTTCATCACGTGTTCTACCACATAGCACATATTATAACAGATTTCTCCCAGGAGGGGATCATTTTTTCTTGAAGGAACGTACTTTTCCAGCAATAACCTGAACCAAAGTACTCTACTAATCCTGCCTTCTGACACTGGGAGGCTGCTTACTCTCCACAAAGGAAAACAGAGCATTGATCCCTGAATTACTGCAAAGCACATCGCACATGTACCTGCATCAGTCAGAAAGAACAGGCTCTTAGGGAAATTGCAACAAAGCTAGTAATTCCTGCTTGTGAGGTGGCCTGTGGTAAAAGCAGCTTAGTTTCACTGTCCCCAGTGCTGTAGACACACAGGATGTCTGAGAAAGAGCTGCCCTGCTTGTTTCAGTGGGTGCAGATGCTGTCAGCTTGCAGCGCTGCTTCACTTGAGCAGCCAAGGACACTTGTCGTGCACAAGCCCACCAATAGAAACCAGCTCCAAACAGTGTTTCCTGAACTATTCTTTCTATTACAGTGACACTGCTCCTTTCATTAATAAGATTCAACTGCAAGTTTCTTAAATGTATGTTGGGACAAAATCCAGAATACTCTAACAAATTGCACTTCTTGGTGAGACTGTTCTGTGGCTCCATGACATGATGATGGTAAAGCTAATAAAGAGGAAAACATTCATTAGTCACATCTAATAAAAAAAGGGACCCTAGTTCCTAACTTTTTTTTTTTTTTTTTTTTTCTTCCTAAATCCTCCTCTCCAGCTACTACTCTGTGGAAGGCTTGTGGTATAGCAGTAAAGTAAGGAAAGGGAAAGCATAAGGCAAGATTTGTTGCTTGGAGTATTTTAGAGCTGTGACCTGTTATTTCAGACACCCAGGTTTGGACTGAAACCTCATTGTGGTGGCAGGCAATGCACACACAGGTGAACCCTCTTCCCAGGAGGCTACAATCTAAATGAAATGCATTTTTTTAAAAAACAACAAAAACAAAAAAAACAGTGCCTAACTATATTTTGGTACATCTAAACAAAGAATTGGTTTGCACATGATTTTATTCATATTTATTTAGATCACTGTAGCAACCTACAGGACCAAGGAGATAACCCCTCACCACATAATTTCTATTACCTTAATATTGGGTTATATGATAAAAAAAGATTATCTTAATTTCATAGCAATCTTTTTGGTTTGGTATTGAAAGACATTCTAGATGGCAGAGATCTGCAGACTCCTTGTTGGCCAGCAGCTGGAATCACAGCAATGATGCAATTTTTGTGTAGCTGTCAAACAAGGGACCCTCTCACTGTGTTAGCTGGATTCCTGCTTTGTTGTTATTGTTCTGATCCAATTAGTCACTGTTTTCAAATTAAGGGATCCAACTGGCTCACTGGACTGAAAGAGATACAAGAATAACAGAAACCCAAACTGGTGGTATAAGAGGAAGAAAGGAATTATTTTTTTTTTTATGTGAAGTGCCTCAGTAAGTTAATTGCATGTTTTAACTAAGTCTTAATTGCACCAACACAAGAGAAAGCAATCCAGAAAGGTTGTTTTGATTCATTACATACCAGAAATGTGAGAGATGGACTTGAACTAATCCGGGAATCTGTCACTATGAGTGAGCTTCCCATGGAGCCTGTTTTAGTTGCCTTATACCCAAAAACATGGAAAAGACAGGTCTGCAAACAACCAAAGCAGCTGATCTCTGCTATTTCCACTTTATTCAGCACTGGTGAGGCCACAACTGCAGTGCTGGGTTCAGTCCTAGGCTCCCCAGTAAAAGACAGACATGGATGTACTGGAGAGTGTCCAGCAAAGGGCCTCTAAGGTGCTGGAGCATCTCTCCTACAAGGAAAGTCTGAGAGAGCTGGGACTGTTCAGCCTGGAGAAAAGAAGGCTGAGGGTCAGCTCATCAATGTTCATAAATACCTGAAGAGAGGGTGCAGAGGACAGAGACAGACTTTTTCCAGTGGTGGCCAGTGACAGGACCAGAGGGAATGGGCACACACTGAAACACAGGAGGTTCCCTCTGAATGTCAGGAAACACTTTTTCACTGAGGGTGACCAAGCACTGGCACAGGTGACCCAGGGAGGCTGTGAAGTCTCCCTACTTGGAGATCTTTCAAAAGTTGTTCTGGACAAGGAGAGAATTCACTAATTTAGGACTTCCCATTCAGATGCTGGTTACAGGGCAAGAGAAGGGATACTGTATCACAGTTTGACATAAGGGTCCTTACACTGTGTTCAAATATCAAACGTTTTCAGAGACGTGGTCGGGGCACAGAATAACAGGTTCTAAAACACTGAGATGTTTAATACAGAGGAACCCTTGACCTTCCTGATAACAGCACTGCTGATGACACACAACAATGGCAAAACTCCTTGTGCCCAACATAAAACAGCAGAAAATCCTTGCAAATGTATTCTAATCTGTGTATGCCTCCAGGTCTCATCCACTTCCTCACAACTGGTACAGTTAGAAAAATGTTGAGGTATGAAACATCATTGCCTACTTTGCTGAGGACTGGTATGCACATACTTCTATGTTAACTAAATCCCAGCTTATCCTTCTTTGTACTGGTTTATGGCTCATTTCATCAAAGAAAAAAACAACTTTTTAAATGTAAAAGAACAGTAGAAATGAATGTGTTTGTCCAGAGAAGATTCTCCTGCAGGGTTTGTCTACACTGCCCAGTACAGCTGAGCTCTCTGGATTGCTGCCAGCACAGGTAGCTCAGACATCAGACTCAGCATAGCCACGTTAAGGTAGAACCTCATGCAAGACATTTACTCCAAACCAAGCACTTCTCCTACCCGATCCAGCCTGTTGAACTGGTGTTGATGCCCATACGCTGCACTGTACTGGAACCACAGAATGAAGTATGTGCTTTATTAAACCTCAAAATGAAAGCATGCTTTTTTGTTACATGAAAAATAACACTCTCTAATGTCCGAGTTAAAGGGTTGCCTACCAAGTAAATGATTTGCAGTTATGAAATGATTGACTGTGAGGATCAAGAAAATGTTTATCATGTCAGATATTCAAGATGAACTTATGTGTAGTTCTGTTCCCTTATTATAATTTTGATAATAAATTTGGATTTGATCTCTGCATTTAAAGAAATCATATAGGGCTGGGGCTGCAAACTCCTGCACCATGCTTTAAAACATGCTGGTAATTCTCAATTTCTGATGACATTACAGTATAAGCATACTGATTTTCTACTGATTTCAAAGAGTTGATATACCTCAACACTTCCGAGAATTTTGCCATTGCCATCTCTCACCTCTTTTCTCAATAAGAACAATTAGATGAAGGTGGCAAAGCAGTAATGCTACTGCAGACTTTCAGAACAGCTGTGAATAGATGCCTGTTTCAATTCATGCTATGCATTTACTGCAAATGTTATTACTACTAAAAAAAAAACCCCAAGCCAAATACTCTTACAATTCCAGTGTGAAGGTTATGTGTTACACAGCAGTAGTTTGCCTTATTTTCAACTTAAAACTAGACTTAAATAGTATGTTTCACAAACAGAAAACTACAGCCTCTCATTAGCCACATCGGGACATTCTGACTTGCCACACAGTTCAATTAATTGTCATCTGAAAAATTTATGTTTTACTTCCTATTAATTTTCATTTCTTCATCTGTCCCCACAGGGTGTCACAAATGTCAATAGCAGGTAGACAGTCAAAACGTTCCATCCCCTTCCCATCCCCATTCTCTCCTTCTTCAGCACACTATGCTCAGATGAGGATATGTCACCGTGCTACTCCCCTCTACAGTCAGCTGCTCAGCACCAAGCTTTAACTCTAGATATTAAGAATACAAAGGAGTAAACCAGCTTTCCATTAGCTCATGACTTTCAGTTGCTGGTTCTCCTTGCTCTAGGATTAGGGTTTGACATCAGTATAGTAACACCCACCAACACGCAGTGCGAAATATTCTATGTGCAAACAGTGCCTGTTTTCTTCCCCCTTTGCATCCCATTTTTCCACTCTGTTTTTCTCTTGGCTTGCTCACTGCCCTACTGTAGTTCTTTTTTCCCCATATGATTATCTCTTTTCCTGCTCTGCACTTCTTCTACACTGTCTTCCAAACCTCAAAATAAGAAAGAAAAGCTCATGATCAGGCTTCTGAGGAATTACCTTCCAGTGAAACACCTCCTCACAACTTTTACCACACTGTCTTCCTTCCAAATATCCCTCATTTTTTTAAAATGCCCTTCCATGCATTTCTTACTGTCATAGCCTAAATCCCTAATCGACCATACCTTCTGACATCCACACCTTTTTCATGACAGCCTTGTTCATTCTCAGTATACCTTTAAGGGTTATGATCTAGTCCTTGTCTTGATGATGACCCAGCAAGCGCTGGAAGGCATTCATACAACTAGTAAGGGGTTCAGAAGCAGTGCACACTGTTAATGTTGATATCATGTGTCCAAGGGATTCCTCTCAAATAGGGACTGTAGACCTAACACACTATTATGGCAATAATAAGCAAACCTATTCAGAAATAATCTTTATAATCCTTTTAGTATTTTCACAACTTCCATGAGCAGAAAACATTTTGAAACATCAACTTAACTCTTAACAATTTACAGAGGATATTATTCTTATTTTTCTGTAAAAATCATTGAAGTCCATTCTAATGCATTTTCCCATCCCTCGAAAAGGTGAGTTGTTACATAAGCTTCATTATAGAACCAAAGGGCCACACAGTAACAGTGTGTGTTTATATCACAATACTCACCAAATTCTCATTTGAGCATGTGATTTCCCCAACATATCAGCCATAGGCATTTTTTACATTTCTTTATCAGCCTTATTGTTTTGCCACAGATGATTCTAAGATACTTACCCAGTTGTGTAAGGTATATTTATTCCCCCTAGATTAATGCTTTCACATCCAACAATGAAGAGAGTTGAAAAGCAGAGCAGAGACACACCACTGCATATCATAGCCAACTTTGCAGACTCTCTCGCACCAAGTTTCAGTTTTTTAATGATATAGCCGCCTAGGACAATACCAACACCAGCACTTGGGACAATAATCACACCTGTTGGGGGGGGAAAAAAATAAAATTAAAAAAAAAAAAATCGAGCAACATTAAAACAGGGCCTATAGAAATGGTATAAAACATAAGTATCAGTTTCATCTCTAATTAGATGACTATGAATGCTCCACTAAGATCTCCATTGTCTGATTCTCTCCTAGCAAACTGAGTCAGACTTTTCAAACCTCTGGAGTGTTGTCAAAGAATTAATAAAAGCCTCCTTATGATATTACCAGCAGCCAAAGCACTATAAGAGAACTATTGTACTTACAAGCAGAAACATTGCTTTGTATTTATTTTAGAATGGAGAGAAGGGATACACATTGGTCCAATTTAATTACTGAAAATTTGAAGAAATCCAGATTTGGACGCAAACCTTCCTCTTCCTACTCTCATGATTAATTCCAGTGAAGCACAAATGTGAACCTCAGACAGGACCCCAGAAGCCTTCCCACTTGTGAGTGCACACACGAGCCTAGCTGCAAATTCTGCCTTCTGGATACTTTAATCAAGCTGAATAGCACTTTCTTATATCAGCAGCCCCATTCATCTCACCACAGCCATGTGGAGTGTAAACTGATTAAACATTATTAAAGAAATAAAGATACTAGAATTAGTATTACGGTAAGTTTAAGACACAAAAGACATGCCTATGAGATTTCTGTCGCTCTGTTGCTGCAGTTATAAGGTAGCAGTTCAGCAACATGTCACCAGGCTGTCCTCACTTCCCAGGGCCTGAGGTGATGGTGTCAGTGAATGTCTTGCACTTCTCCGCTTCCCTTGGCTTTTGCTTCTCAGTGACATGTGAGAAAGTCTTTAAACAAGGTCTTTGTTAATAAAGATGCATTCCACATAAATACGTGATTTGAAGAACTTCTGGCAGCTGCATGTAAGGAGAAGGAGCTAATCTTTATAATCCAAATTCTTAAAGATGTTCGTCTACTTTTTAAAGAAGTCAGTAAGACTTGCAAATACCTTTAATATTATTGCAAAGCATTCTCACTCTCTGCTAATTTGTGTAAAAGTGAAGGGGACATTATATTACCAAAATATTGAGATCATGAAAGCAAAATAAGAAGTAAAAATAGTTGCTGCCTTAATTATACTATCATCACCAATGGCATTATAAAATAAAATGTCATCTCATGAGGAAGACTCTTAATAATAACCCTTCTCAGACTCAAAACTAGTCTTTCTTGTAAGAGCAGAATTTAAATGTATGAGTCTTTCTAGGAGAATTAAATTACTTTCACAAAGTTCAAAGCTGTTATCACTCTCCAGCTGTTATACCTCTCACTTTCAACGACTGAATATAAACGAGGGAAAGAAATAATGCAAATCCTTTCACTTGCACCGAAAATGTTCTCTGTGGGTGAAAACGGTAACTCAGTCATCTGAGTCTACCAAAGCAGCCTACCCTGCTCTGCAAAATCTGTGAGAAGCCCACATCCACATAGAAGGCAGACTGGGATCACTTGCAATGCCTTCTAAAACACCCCTGTCAGGTGAACCAAATTCCATGGACCAAATCCATGGCTACATCAGTTATATGAACTAAGGATCTAGCCCAAGGTAAACGCTTACTGATGATACAATAACCTCAGTATTTTATTCTTCTTCCTTCCACCTTATAGCTTAGCTTTGCGTTTTTAACCTCTTTTGGACCTGAATTTACCTTTTTTTCTTGTCCTCATGAAGGTACTGATATTGGAAAAGCCTTTCACTGGAACTGGGACTCTGTGCATCTATGTCTAGTACCTTGTCAAAACAGAGCATGTAAATATTTTGCGAGGCATTAGGTTAGTGGTTCTTCCATTAGTGAGTTATACTGCGCTGCTGTTTTCATCTATCCTCTGCCACACCACAAAGATCAGAACATTAAAAATGAGGAGAACATGAGCAAATTGCCCACCAAGGCTCGCTCTCATTCAGGAGGATGGAAAGGTAAAGGAAACCCTACAGAGAAGAAGCAGAAAGACAGATTCCTTCATGCAAAGTGGAGCTGAGGATGGACAAACTCTCTCTCTGGGAGAGAGTGGAAGGGCAGGAGCAGATTTCACTGTTTGTGGTGAAGGCAGCAGAGAGAAGCACTCATTCGCTCCTACACTTCAGGAAGTCTGACAACTTCTTTTGCCTT